TTGGATACGGCCCCTGAATAGTTCTGTATCTTGGGCGCAATCCTAGCTAGTCGTCCGAGCGTAAGGATCGAAATGATAAATACGTATCGATCGTCCAGCCTCATACACGTCTAACAATAGACACGCATCCAATGTTGTGCGATCGTTACGATCGACGGCCGACTATGAATGCGCCCTCTTGCGAGAAAACAGTAACCCTCGACAAAATTCCTAAGGAACGATTCTTGAGAGCTTAAGGGATCAAGTACAGATTCTCCATTCTTCGTAACGGGCCTCTATATCACAACATCATAAACCGCAATGAGGGATAAGTTCTTGAATTACCTTCTAATCATCAGGCGCAACCTTTTTGATTTATGTATGTTGTAAACTCCTGAACCACAAATTAGGGATCAATTTCTCGTCTTTCTACACCCTAGCTACCATCCATAACCAGGAGTGGTCAACTCGAAATATAGTTGTCAGACCGGAGGCCACTCCTAGGCAATTTCTACAGACAAGGCCGTTCTTGCATTTTTGCTGGCCAACAGACCTTCTTCTTTCGAAAGCTCCTTGGCATCCTTCATACAGTCGATATCCGAGAGTTGGGGTAGGCGTGTCACCGGAAATGAAGTGGCCATCGTGCACTTGATAGAAGCTATGTGGATAAGCTGCTTCCAACATACATCGCTGGATATCAGCAAAGCATGCTGGCAACAGCTTATCCACGCAACTTCTATCAAGTGCACGTCACTTCCGGTGACACGCCTACCCCAACTTTCGGATATCGACTGTATGTTCTATGGCAACTCGTACTCTTCGGCATGGTTGTCATTGCCAATGATTCTTTTACCCGTCAATATTCACTTAGGTATTGTTCTTGTTGTTGTTCTGTTACATTTTTTCAACGTTGCATTGAACAGCATACTTAATAAGGATGGAATTCAAGACTATATTCATGAGATGGGCTGAGGGATATTGAAGCAAGTCACATTGGTTCCCATAGTTACGTTACTCACAATCAAATCGCATTCAGACTATTTTTCTGTAGCATTGGGTTTTAAGAAGTTGATCTAATTTGGACAACAAGTGGCTCGAGCAAATTCGTACCTCTCTGCATGTTTCAGCATTTTTCAGGGCACCGATGAACTTCTCAACGTTTTCTAGAGCCTCCGTCGATGTCTTTGCGCATTCACGCGCCACTTGAGCAAATCTAGCAGAGACTGCTTCATCCACCATATGCATGTCCTAACGATATGCCTAAAAATATGTACGTCTTACCCTTACATGGATGCAATGGGAATTACCATTACCAACTGCACAGACCAAGAAGGTCTTTTAGGACGTACATCGCTTCTGAAAAACAGTACTTCGCATGAAGTTGGGGCCATGCTGGGCAAGAATCTATGGTCCATTTTTCCTGAGGGGTTCTCTGAATGCCGAAAAGGACGAGGAAAGCTTAAGCGCCACACCTTTTTTGACACCCCTTTCTGAAGAAAAAGTCATTTACTGCTAGGTGACTGCTTGTCCTAGCCTTCAATATGCCATTCCTAGGCGCGAGTACCATTTCGCGAAATTATGTAAGCGTCAGTAGAAAATGCAAACTTTCTCACCGTAGAAGGTCGAACCGTGAACCAATCCTTCGTCCATTTTCTGGCTTTCAGAGGGCGCTCAGGAAAAAATGGAGCGTAATTCTATGTTTCATGACTTGTCCTTACACAACGCATACAGCCGTTTTGGAAAAGTAAGGCACGACTTGAAAAACCTTTCCTGGTGAGTGCAATCATTCTGATGACAAAGAAATGAGTGTGCAGCTCAAAATTATGGCGCGACATCGCGGCTCTTGTGGTTTAGAGGTCGCGACCAACTCAAACGTTGACAGCAGAATACGAAAGATTTGCAGTAGCATGATATGGATGTGGTACAATCTATGAGCCGTAGCTTTGTCGTGAACACCCTCGAATTAACATGGTCCTTACCCACAATTTGAAAGACTGAAAAATGCGGTGATAAGCTTCCAGTCTTCCTTAATATTCAAAGAGACAAACCATCGAAAATTTCATTCAATATTCTTCAAGTGGCATTCTTTATATACAAAAATCCTAAGTTAGTAATAGAAACAATGTACAATAATGTAATCAACTAGAACTATCTAATACCCGTGTGACACAAAATGGACAAAATCAGGAAACCTATGCTAATCTGCGACAATTTACGACGAACTTGATGATGAAGAAGGTGCATCGCCAGCTTTTTTGCTTCCATTAGCGTAGGCGACGAACATTTCTTTCAGAAATGACAATTCTTTTTGAAGAGATTCTACCTTAAGAAATACAACTCATAAAAAATAGAAGAGGTGTATGGTTGGTGCCAGAGTTCGCGATTCGCACGATTCGCGCGATTGCGCGACGGGTCACAGAAATCACAAGTGCCCGATCAATACTGCAAGGTGCTTCTCCAATCCCGCCGCCATTTCTGCTTGATGGTGATGGCTGAATGACGACTGTTCATGATTCCACTTGTTTCATATTCAGTGTTTCAAATGTTCAAATGGGCACTTGCGTTTTGCGACGCGAAGGATCGCGAACTCTGACACCAGCCTGAGACAAAACAATGCCAAAGAATAAACTACCTGTCTTTCGAGCTTTTCGTTTTCAGCTCTGAGTTCCTCAACCTTTTTCGCAGTCTCCGTCTCCTCCTGTCGCTTCTTTTCTCGAGTTCTGCAAATTCAAAATCACCTGATAACTCGCCACTAGATTTACATGGAGAAAATGGGCATTTTCAGACGAGGTTTTCATGGCGCAAAAATTGAAAACGAGATAGCTATTCATTTTACTGCACGGTCAGTGCCCATTACCGCCTTCACCTATGAAAGCTCATATAAAGATTGTGATCAACAAAAAGATGGAAAAGATTTACAAGAAGCTAACAAGGGAAAATCCGAAAATTCTTGCACTCAACACAAACTGAATAGAATCTGATAGGTTGCGTCAAAGTTTATAACGACTTCTCAGTCGACATGCATATTTGTATTCGGTGGTTGAACATTTGGTTACACCAAATTCGCTGTAAACTTCAGATAGGGGGTATATGGTGTCCTGATTACGGAGATGACATTATTTTTGGCATCAACGCTGCTCAACGCATATTTCCCGGGGCTCTCTCACCTACATAGTGCATGAGACCAATTGTAAGTTCACGGAGTAGGGGGACTCCGGGGTGGACAACTAGGCACCGTGTGGTAAAACTTGAAGCATGTGAGATCACAGGGTGAGTGAGTGTTTGCCCACAACCACTAAGAACACTCCTGGCCCCAGAGGCTCAGTCGTGATTGTGTCTAACCAGTGAGAGGACGCTATCGAACGGAGAATAGGCGCCAAATGGTGCCAGCGCCAAGATGATGTAAGGAGGACCTACACAGGGTGTGATTCACTAGGACAGAAAGCGACTTTTTCGCGTTTCGCAGCGCGAAACATTGTTCGCTGCGGGAACCTCGGGTCCACTGATTTTTCGCTGCGGGAACCTCGGGTCCACTGATGATCAGAGGTGGACCTGAGGTTCCCGCAGCGAAAAATGTTTCGCGCTGCGAGCGCGAAAAAATTCGCTTTCTGTCCTAGGTCGACGGACTACTTGAACTCAGCCCTTTAACCGCCTCTGCGCTCTCTCGCGGGTCCCTCTCCTCTCCAAGGCTTAGTCCTAGGGCATTCACCCGTTCTCTAATCGTCTGTGCTCTAGCCATCGCGGCAGGACCATTGAGGAAAAATCAAGTAGTCCGTAAACCTCTGTCCTAGTAACCACGCCCACCTATACAGAAGTTTACTCCGAATTTGGTGAAAACAAGAGCTGTAAGAAGGTGACACCAACTAACGGGCGAGAAACTGCCACATAATGGCGAAAGAGTAATTGTGCCTGGGAGTCAATTTGTTAAGCCCTGGAAGAGGCACGACCGAAGCGTGGCCGCGCCGATCGCGTGCTCCCCCCCCCCGCCCCCCCCCCCAAAAAAGCTGAAATTTGGCCTTCGTAAAAGGGGCATCAGCTACTTCTCTAGGTGTCAACATCTCACGAAAAATAAAATTTTAAAATCCCAAGGTCACATAGTTGAATTGTACCGAAGAATCACCGATTTACGGCTTCGTTGTTTCGCCTTCTCTTCTCTTCATAATCCTCGTCCTTTTCCATTTGAGGAGATCGCACACCATTTCTCTTACGTCCCGCCATGGTCGCTTCAACTGAATTTTTGAAACAATGAAACCGAGGTGGAATTCTGAACAGCAAATCGATACATCTGTGTGAAAACTCGTTTCGGGAAGGGGGGGGCACACGATGGGCGCGGCGCTCTGTTCGTCTGCTCCTCACGGCTTAGTCCACCAGGGCCATGCCCTATACCCCCAGAAACCGCGCCGGTCCCGCATCACGTGCCCCCCCCCCGCACGCTGAGATCCCATGGCGTGTACGTGCCGATGGAAACGAAACTTGAGCAAGAAACGAACACAATCACGAGGCATCCGCAAGGATTCCGGAATGGCGCAAATTCGACGACAATATCGCGTCGAGAAAGAGAACATTGCGTAATTGCGCGATATCGTATTTGAGTGCGCAAATTTCGTGCTACGATAAATTGTGACTTGTAATATGCAAGCAGGTTTCTGCGCATTAGAGCTTTTGTTCAAGGCAGTTGTGGAAAATGAAGGGTCTGGGAAATATGCTCCATTCGTACGGATCTTGGCCCAAGAATAGTGTGGATTTCCAGCACCCACCTGTTGCTCAACAGTACGGAAAGGGGCTTCTGATCTTTTCATTATAACATCGTGGAAGAAGTTTCATTCACATGGTTTCGTTTCTGTCCCGGCAACATTAACTGCGCAAATTGGGAATACTGAAAAACGGGTGCACCACAATGCACCCTCCCCCTCTGTCTCAACTACCTTGCGCCCCTATTATTTCCGCCTATCTTTGAGCCAGGTTATAATCAAAGGTACGGTAAAAAAAAAGTAGCGAATATTAGAGTATATGGATGTGATGTGCTCATAGATCAACAACGAAGTATTGTTTGGAATTAATCAGTCGCGGAGGTGGCGCCAGAAAGTGCTGATGAAGTGGGTGGAGTGTGACTCGCTCCAGCCGCTTTTTTTGGCGCCTGACTTCTTTTTGTCCACTGATAATGTGGGACTGCTCATGCAGCCGAAAAAGGTTGTAAATTAAACGATAACGAATGGTCTGAGATCTAATCCTTGATAGGCCTTGCCATAGTAAATTGGCTGGCCTTCTGAAATGAATAGATTTTATTCGAATCTCATCTAATTCACGAAAGTTGGAGCCTTGTTCCTCAAGAAGAGGTTTTCGAAAAGCATCTCACTCTACCAAACGGCTACTCTGAGTTTGAATGTTTCACCAAATGCATCAAATCTAGATGCCGTATCAAAGGAGGAGAAAAAAGGATAGCTCGAAGAAGGGGAACCTTGCTTAGTTGGGAAGAGACGGACCCTGAGGGTCTGACGCGCAATTGGCAGCGAAAGATTTGACCTCGGCGATCCTAGCATGGCTCACTCTTGGCGCGGTTGGCGGGGTACGCCCACCGACTATCTAATCACTCGCCGCAGGTCTATACGTGGCGAGTGATTAGATAGCAGAGAGAGCGTAGTGTTGAAGAGGGCACAGCGATGAGAGTCGCATCAATGCGCAAATCAACGGGCAAGGAAGGGGTCCCATTTCTCGGGTTTCGGGCCGTTTCAAATGGTTCTTCTTCATCCCTGCTCCACTGACCACCTCTATTAATTTCCAATGAGCTAACTTTTCATCGTAAATTCTGCCTTTGCTATTTATATTCAGTTTGGTTTGGGGGCGAGATCGGAAAGATTGACAGGACCTGTTAAGAACAGCGAGGTTTCAACATAACTCATGCTTAATGGTGAACATTCGAGAAGAAATGGTGGAGATATTTTCTGCCAAAACAGCCGAATGCTATTTTCGCTCATACATTTGGCTCAGGATTAGGCATTTGTCGGGAATACTTCAGCTCAAATAATCCCTCTCCCATCGCAATGTGACCTCCTCTCCTTATCCCTATGATTCCCTCCTCAGCTTTCTTCACCTTTCAGTGTTTGATGGTGTCTAATATGTAATGCTGTTGAGCTTGGCATTATGCTCCATTTCCGCTCACAAGAGTTCAAAGGTGCTCCAAGCGAGAGACGGAGGGGAAGGCAGGCGAGCGACAAAGTGTAAATGACCGCCCTCTGCGATATTTTCCTGCTATACTTTCCTCAAATATACAGCCTGTGAGTCCCTACCAGGGCCAACGTTATGCTAAGCAATTTTTTTTCAAATTGCACGATACCGCTCCGGACGGCTTTCTGACACAATCCCCTCTAACGGTCGATGGTGTTCATAGTGCCTTGAACTAGAAACTCGATTCATACTGACACACTTTAATTCAAAATTGTGTAGAGCGGGTGCATTCATAATAGCATTCAATCAGCGAGACTACCCCTTTCTCCGGCAACCTTTTTCTTCTAATTTGCTCTCCCGAAGGGACAGAGGTGGTGCAGGGGCAAATGACGTCACATCCCACGCACAGGGTCCGGTGTTAAATCTCAGATCGAATCTCTACCAACCCAGCCGAGTCGTTCATCCCTCCAGGGTTGGAAAAATGGTAGTAGACTTGTCTGGGAAGGTGTTTGTCTTCGTAAGTTATTGCGCAAGCAATACCGCATTCAAATGCCACTACGACTCTGCATGGAAGTCAAGCTCATGGCGCGGGTCAAAAGGGGATTGTCAACTCTGAAACTTAGTCCTTCTTTTCTCTCCCTCCCTTTAACCACAAAATGTGACCTCCCTTCCCTTAGAACATTTGGAACGTACGATCGACCCAACTACTCGCTTCCAAATCTCATCAGATACGAATCCCCCCATGGTAAGCCAAATAAGACACACGACAAGGAAAAGGAACAAGGCCTATCTAGATTTGACTTTCCATTTGGAAATGTGGAAGAAATCGACTGGTACTTTCTACTGTTATTTGGTCTACAGCGCCTTCTGAGAGGCATTTGATGGTCGTCTTGCTTGATTAAAGAAGGCTTCCCCGATACGAACGAAGGTCGAAGAAGGGGAAACTTACCTAGTGGAGAGACAGGCGGACCCCCTAAGGGTGCGGACCAACACGCAATTCGCATCGAAGGATATGCCCTCGGCGATCTAGCATGGCCTTCCCTTTGGCGCAGTTGGCGCGGAACGCCCACCGACTATCTAATCACTCGCCGCAGGTCTATACGCGGCGAGTGATTAGATAGCAGAGAGAGCGTAGCGTTGAAGAGGGCACAGCGATGAGAGTCGCATCAATGCGCAAATCAACGGGCAAGGAAGGGGTCCCATTTCTCGGGTTCTGGGCCGTTTCTTTCTGCATAATTTTCTTCATCCTGCTGCACTAACCTTACATCTAAATTTATTCAATAGTTACCTTTTCATCGTAAATCGCCTTAGATCGTGAGAAGTCAAGTAACTCGTAACTAATGTTAGGTTCATGGAAGCTTCAGTTGCCCTGAGAAGGACTACAAGTGTGCACCCTTTATTGTTTCCCACAAAAGTCTATTTATGATTGTATGGTATGTAGGAACAAGTCACCGCGCGACGTCGCGGACTGACTTGCTAACCACCCTACAGTGATCCCCGTAACTAAGCAGCATTCACCTAGAGACTTCCGCATGAAAGCGTGCATTTTGTAAGAGATGTATCTGATTTAGCAAGCAGTGTGTGTGTCATAAAGCGCCAATGAACTGGACGATGAGTTCATCGAAAATACAGTTTTTTGGGGATTCAATTCCATGACGGAAGTCTCTAGGTGAATGCTGCCACGAATTACGAATGCAGCATAGCGTATTCGGCGAGGAGATAAGGCAGCACGACAATTTTGCCCTTTACAAGATAAAAAGGGTTTGAAATAAGAAACCCTAATCAATCAAAGAGCAAGAAAGTACATACTTTAGTGTGTCGTTGCTGCTGTGGTGAATTGTTTATAGAGTGACGATCGTTTCCGTAGTTACCAAGTCGGCACGGGACTATAATGGGAACGAAACCCATCGTAAATGAGGTTTCCAAGGAATTCTATTCTCTGCTAGATACGTTTCGATTTCCTCCCGGCAACCGCCAACGTGTCGTAGTTTTTCGCCCTGAAAGTGCTGCTCGACCAAGGAAGAACACTTTTCAAGAGGTACGTTTTGAAAGTTCTGTGAAGGAGATCCTGAGGAGATTGCAATGATGCGGTAAAAGTACTCATTGGAAATCCTTCATAGTGTTGATTCTGCCTCTCCTAACCAATTTGATTCATATTCATATGCTCAGCCTTCTTCCCTTTACGAATTCGTTAAAGAGGGGGGGCGGGGATGGTCGAGAGGAGGTGAGGATCAGACGACGTCATAACATGAAAAGGCTAAAGTAATGTCCAAAAGGCACCCGATCGTGCAGCAAAATCTTGCGAATAGAGAAGAACAGGAAATCGTGGCTGAGACCAAAGATGCTCTAGTAATGACCTTATAAGGGGCATAATGGTGGTCCGTCCGCCTCATAGCTGGTCGGTCCCTCCATGATCGCGGTGTTATTCATCTGCCGCATCACTCCTCACCATGCTCTTCTCGTTTCCGTCCTTTTCTCGAATCAGAATCCCTCATCTCTACTGCCTGTCCCTTACAAGGGAGGTGTCCAGGATGTGAAGTGCTTTTTTCAAAGCTGTTTTCTGCATGCTCCTATGTGGATTACTAACGAGTTCAGTTTCGTGTGAGCGGCCAGAAAGACGAAAAATGGTGAGGAAATGGTCCAAGGTTCAATCCCGCGTGATGACAAAATTTTAGGTTGGAGCTTTCAAACTTGCTTCACTTATCCCGATAATAATTATCATGTTTACCATCAAGACCATCAGTAGCTGTCATACGTAGATTTTTTAGCGACCAGTCTGGCGAAGCGAAAAGCTGCAAGCCTCAGGAAGGATGCCAATTCGAGTCCAGGACCGCTATCCACATTGACCACCAATAAGCTGCCAAAGCTGTATGTCACGGTGCCTAATGAACCCCCCATATTTTCTTCAGCACTACCACTGACTGTACTTTAGTTTCAAGCAAATTTAACCTTGATTTCGATACATCTTCACCAGAACCCTAAGGTGCAGGTAATCTTTTCTAAAAGTCCGACACAGCACTCTAAAGCTGTAAAAACCAGCCACTTTTAATAAATTTCTTCCGACATTTATTTGCTTCAGGCCACTCAGCGAAAATGGAGAAACGTATCGCAGCCCATGTGAGAGCCCTACAGAAAACCGTTTTGAAAAAGCTCTCCATAACCTGAACGAGCTTCCTTGTTAAACTCATCCGCGCCTTGGGAGAAGAAATTCTGTATTTTTGGTTCCTCAATGTTTTTTTTCCTTTTTTTGTTGACGTGCGCGGTTTCTACTTTGCCAATCATTTATATCGTTTAGACAGAATTCTCGGGCACTATTTACCCTTTACTGCCCCACTCCTCAAGAACTGAGCCGGATTTTGATCGAAATTCGTCCATGACTGTGGATTTTGCTAGAAACTTGCCTTCAGGGGTAATTTGACCCGTAGATCACGAATATAATACCGGTTTAGAGCGAAAACGCTTGGCGCCCGCGCCACAGGCGCCGGCGCTATCACAACAGTTTTGCGCGGGCGCTCGCTCGTAGCGCAGGCTACAGGTTCACTCGTAACAAACTGATGTCATATTCTACGGGGTCAAAATACCTCTGAGGACAACTTTCCAGCGAATTTGGGGATCCGAGATGTTCTGGCGCCTTTTGGCGCCGGCGCTTCTGACGCGAGCGCCAGGCGTTCTAGCGGTAAACAAATGTGATATTCGTGTTCTACGGGTCGAATTACCCCCGAAGGCAAGTTTCTGGCCAAATTCACAGTCAATGACCAATTTCGATAAAAATCCGGCTCAGTTCTCGAGGAGTGGGGCAGTAAAGGGTAAATAGTGCCGAATTTCACACCAACCTGAATCGGAGAGTGCCTGAGTCGTTTTTTAAAGAAAATGTAGTGCATGGAAATAGGCTCCGCTAGGTTGCTAGATGAATATCCTTCTGTGAAACCTGCACCGTTGCGACATTAGGACCGCCTTACCTCGCAAACTATTACCTATGTAGGGAGGAAAAAAGTCATGGGTTTTGCCCACGTTGTAATTTAGCGACTTTTTCGTCACTAAGATTGTGTTCCCCTTCCTCGATCTCCTTCCTTTTCGTGGGAACCTACTGGGCAGGTTTAAAGTCTGTTAGCCGCCCTCTGTGAGTTAAGGAAGTGGTTGACTTGAACGGGATACGGTGCGTGGATGGCATCATGATGCAGCTATTTTCACAGCTTCACCTCAATTTCGAGAGACTAATTACACTAGAATGCTGGGTTGTGAACAAAATTTTCGCCCTAGACGAGACTCGAACCCGTACCTCTTGCTTACCGAGCAAGAATAGGCGAGGAAGCAAGGCGTCCGAGCACGCACCGAGGCATCATTTCACACCTCAACTCAGCTCTGCATGGTATACTTACCTACTTGTCAGCACTCACACATCAATGCTGAGCCGGTTAGCAAGTGGTGTAGGTTCGAGTCCGGTCTGGGATGAAAGTTTCGTTCACAATCCAGCATTCTTGTGAAAGAAACATTCGCAAGGCGAACTGCGGCCAACAGTATATAAGTTGTAATAATAATAATAACAATCCAGTTGATAAGCAAAAACTAATTACACTGTCTTACTGTTACCAACGAATATGCTCATTGAGCGAACGCCAAGGCATAGCGTTCGTTCACGCGTAGTTACAGACTTATGTTTAGTGCTTACGTCAGCAGTACACGCGGTGGGCATCCCTCAAGATTCGATCGTGTGTGCTTTTTGTCAGGTGATGACTATTATGACTTGTGTTACGTATAGGCTAAGTCCACAATAACGATATATCCTGGCAGCAGGGTCAAGTCTATCGTTGTTACTTTTTCAAAAATTTTTACGACCCCCCTCCCCCAAGGTGGACTTGGTACGACCCCCTTTTCGACCCTCGACCACCATATTCCTCTCTATAGTATTTAATTCTGGTACCACTCAACCCACCAAACTCCGCCCACTTTTCCTCCAAAAATGCCGTCGAGCGGGGGGGGGGTATAGCCACTACGAAAACAGTAAAAATTACCAAAATTCCCTAAATTTCAACCAATTTACCCCACTTCTACCTATAATCCCACTGCCAATCATTGCCTAGGGGGGATCGCCGCCACTGAAGCGATAGGACCTCTCTAGTAAACTCAACAGGTACGACCGCCCCGTTGTTAATGTAAAGCAACGTAGGGTTGACCCTGCCTGACAGTAGGAAACTAACCACAATTTCTCCAGAGGGCGCGGTGACTGCGATCAAAAGGGCTCATAATCCCATTCATCGAGCTGTTAGTAATTGACGTCAAGAGTATAAAAACCGAATTCTATTGAATTGCTGATGTATCGCGGATTAGTAGAGCACTAAAAGAGCAACGATTTTTAGTCAACATCATTCTTATCACTGATTGAGCAGTGGATGGCTGTTTGCCAAAATAATCAGAGTTTTGATATCATATTCACTCAAATGTGCCCTTTGGCTAGAACAAATATTACCGTGAATGTTCTCTGGAGTTCATCGTATTCTATGCTCCTGAAAATGTAATTTTCAATTAGTTTCTGAAAGGTTTTCCGCATTTGAACTTTTTATCTCAACGATAATTACAGCGATAATTACATGTTGGGTAGCTTAACGGCTGTGGTAAAAAGAACAGCTCAATTCCCTATTTCTTCGCTTGTCCTTAGAAGGAGTTTTCCAATTCCGCTCCAAAGTAATGAGTGAGAAGGTACCTTATGCTACTATAACTATCATAAACCAGAAGTTACACCGAATATTAAAGAACCAAGCTTTATTCCATAATTTTTTGAAACACATGGTTTATTAAAGTATGCGTGTATTTGGTTCCGCCCATTCTGTGCGATCAAGTCAGGCTGTAAACGCCGACTCATTCGCTGTTTAATATATCTGCTCTTATATATCTGATTATTCATCAACTAGGAAGTAGAGTGGACCAAAGTTCCACTATTGTTTTACTGCCTATTGAACAACACCCCCGAGATCAAATTTATCGAAGGTCAAGATGGAAATTGCAATGTCGAAATCGACTGAGAAAATGAAAAAGAATTCCTTGAAAAGGAAGGGGTGGAATCACACGAGTTGTGCGAACTCCCTTGCTCCAAGGCCCCTCTAGCTCGCGCGCATTTGAATTAGCCCCCACGCCATCATCCACGTCCCGCGCCATGGGGTCTGCAGCACGCAGTAACTCGTCCAAATGCTGAAATCAGTCACCAATTGCTAACTTTTCTACGGCACCTTAGCTCATATGATCGCACATTTCGAGCATCGAAAAACGGCGCATCTTCTAGGTCTTGGCTACTCTTCCACCTACCCACAGAATGAAATTCAGACAAAGGAATTCTGTCGCTGGGAATTGTTGCCTTTAATTTTGTCTATTGATTTATTCTTAAAAATCCCGAAATATCCAAGTGATCCTATACTTGTGTATTTTCTGGCCTTCTCAGAGAGTATCAGTGCGGAACATGACTGCCGCTCTTGTCGTGAACGAATTTGACCACATGAATCCTTCTCGATTCCAATCCGTCGAGACTACACTGGACGTACTAATCTGAAACGTTCCTAACATTTCTAACGGATTACTAATTTTACCTGCTGGACGACTTACACCAAGTTGATCGGAAACGTCGGAAGGGGGGCGAGGGGGGTAGGACTGGTTTTTTTTGAAAACACTGGTTCGGAAGCAAGAACGACTGGAAATATCCCAACGCAGGACTCACAGACACCCTCACAATCATTCTCTACCATGCCTGATCTATTTATTGAAAATATTGTAGCTTCTCGAAAATGGGTAAATTTACAGGAAGAGATATGTCCGGCTTGGTTTCGTGTCCACACTGCGATCGTCTCTACAGCCATCATTCGCTATACAGCTTCACATATCGAAGTGCAAAGAGAATCCCGGAGCTATCCGACGATTTTCTATGGTTCTGAAGAAGAACACGAGTGCAAAGAACGTAAGGCCAAGGACCCGATCGATGTCACGACCTGCTGGAGGTGAGTACATATCTCTTAAATTTGGGCGATGGATATAACAGAATGAATCGAGTTCGTGATACACAGTGAAGTACCTTCAAGTAGTAATCGAGTTATAGCAATGTGAGCCACGCGTGCTTTACAAGTCGGCCTGAACTGCCCCCCCCCTCCTCAACAGCTGTTACGACCCCTTCCCTGTATGAAGTACCACAACTCATTCCCGCCTTTCAAATTCGTTTTCCAGTGTGGCTTACGATTTTCGACGTTTCCAAAAAACATCCATAGTTAGGGTAGAAAGGAAATTAGTGGAACGTCGGCAAGGAGCATTATTTTGGCATTACCAAGAAATTCTCGAAATTTCGCGGTTTTAAAATTGTCCGTTAGGTAGAATATTGTTGCTGTATCTCCCAAATTATGCCCCAATACAAACGAAGTCCTAGCCCATATTACAAGCACTGTGAACTACGTACAGTTCCAGTTTCCCTTAATATGACCCTCTTCTCCTAGAGAGCCGTATAAGAGCAACTGCCGTTGAAGAGACCGTAGTGTTGTCCCCTGCGACAACCTTCATATTCGAAAATTTCCGATATTAGATGTATTTATATATTATTGTGAATGATTGATGCTCGAAGGCTTGTTAACACGTTGACGACCGTATGGTATGATGTCATACCACACACTTTCGGCCGCGTGGGACCGTGTGACATGATGTCATGTCACATTCGCGCGGTCAAAATAATGCGCGCGGTCCCACACGCCAGACAGCGAAAACGAGCGCGGTCGTCAACGTGTTAAAGCCGTGGGAAGCAATTTTCAGTGGTTAATAGAATAAAGTAAAATAAATTGCGATAGAAGCAAAGAATCGAATGATTTCCTTGATTCTAACAATTTCTCACGATATTTCAGACTCATTCCGTTTGTGCTATGTATGTGGACAACGATTCGATGAAAGGAATATCGCTTCACATGAGCAAAAATGTATAAAAGGTAGTTAAAAGCTGTTTCCCCAATACCTCGCAAAGCCTCCTAGGACGGGCAATGAGAACGTGAAATGGGGATGGCCATCGGCGCGCTAAAATCGATAATCGTCAGAAAGCACGCGCACAGCCAGCTGACTGGAAGTCCGAAAAGTGCTGGATACATTTCGAAGTTGATCAAGCCTCGAAAACAACAAAATGGAGAAGCGGCGGTATTCGTAGGCGAATATCGTTGTCATTCAGAGGATCACCATTAAGGCGCGAAACGTCGAAGAACGGCACGAAACAACCACGCTATAATGTTTTGAAGAAATAGGTGGATCTTCTAAGGGTGTGGACCGACTCGCAGTTTGCCTAGAAAGATATGCCCAAGATCTCAGGATCTAGCATGGCCATCCCCGTGACGCGCTATTTGCTCGGTATGCCCCCTCTCGCGTCGTCTCGTGTCTGAGTCTCTAGCCGTTCAGCAGAGAGAGCGTTAGCGTTGAAGAGGGCAGCACCGATGAGAGTCGCATCAATGCGGCGGGCAAGGGAAGGGGTCCCATTTCTCGGGTTTAGGCCCATTTTTTCGTTTTTTTTTTGAGCATTGCTGATAATAACTAACTTAATAACTTCCGAAGGGCTGCTTTTTCGTCGTGGACTCCGCCTTCAATGCTTAATTTCTGTCTGAAATTTTCAGAACGTAAGCCTCTCACTTTCAGACTGGTCCCAAACGTGCGACCGCCTGACGACGCGTTTCGAGTCTCGCACTCCGATGCCACTACTGATACCATCAGTGGATGGTACGAGCGATGCCCGTCGACTGAACGAACATGCAACTGCACAGGCAACAAAAGCACAGACGTTACGGTGCCGCCGTTGTAACACCAAAGTACCACTCAGCGCTGCTGAGCAGCACCGTTGCACTCGTTTCGAGCCGCCAGTGGAATTCTTTTTCTAGCAGAGCGATCCCGCCTGGTGTAGCTCTTGCTCACTTTTCACACTTTTCACAACGTCTGAACAGTTGATTTCACAAATTTTTTAAGCAACTACATCAGCACCAGGAGATTTAGAAGTATTTTAAAGGCAGCGATTACGATAGATTCTGGAGGGGTTTAGAGGGGACGTGGGGGTCTCAATAGTACGCCAATGGCGAAAAAGCAAGAAATCCGTCAAAAATACGCAAAGTAGTACCCCTTGATTGCCCTTTCATTTTCGAAAATGGATGGGCGGCGACAAAGAATAGGCAAGTTGGAAGACAAAGCCGTAAGGGGAAATGATCTTCCAAAATGAAAAGCCAACAGCAAACAGCTCGCCCAAGTCACCAACTGAACTAGTGGGCGTAACGCTTTCGGGGCGGAGTGCTTCGGAAGTCCTGCTCAGCAACCAGGGCACCTTTCGTCGTGAAAGCGCCACACTTCGCTTCCTTGGCAGCCAAGTAACTGCTTCGTGTGGCGCATATACTCTCCCGATGCGGCCTTCCTTATCGTAATCGCTTCCTTCAAATGCTTTCTAGTACAAGGCAACGAGGCACATACCTCTGAGATACTACAAATAAGCAATTACTGTGATAAAATACAAGCAATTTTATTGGGCAATTTCTAAAGTAAAGTCGTTAAATATGTAACTATCAAGTGAGATCGTTTTAATAAAAATTATATGCTATGATGTCTCATGCGAATGATGTCTATTATAGCTTCTGAAGCCGGTTCAGACTTCGCGAATCGTGTGTGTGGGTTCAAATTCCAAGCTCTAAAATCGATCACCTAAAGAGTAATGAACACACAGCTGAGATTAAGGCGGTTACAAGGGTTCTGTCAACCATAAGGTGGCGCAAGCCTACTGTGTTGTATGAAGAGCTGGATAAGCCTTCAAAAGAAATAATTGAGGAAGAGATGCTGTCATAATATGCTATTCTCACGACTAGCCGTTTTTGCTCCGTTTGTTAAGAGGTTTTATTGGTAATGACTTTTCTCTGAGTTTTTACTTGCTGAGCGAATTTTACGTTGGAGGGTGGGTAGCAGGGAGTTTCTTTCTGGAAGAAAGGTTCTCGAGAAGAGTTAAACAACCTTTTCATACTTCGGTTTGTGAGGAGGGTCGTTTCATGGACTTCGGCCGCTGGGGAAAGAGAGGAGTACGCCAGGAGGCTCGATGCGCGACGAAGGTTGAGGAGGGAGGCGAGGTATTTCAAAGATTTTCCTCGACGCCTCCTTGGTTCGGAGCTTAACTGCACCTGCCCACTTTTCACCGCAAAACACCACCACTCGCTTTCGTTGTCGCCTGGCTCCGCATCCGCGTTTCATGCACTTCCCTGTTGCTTCTCTGGACCCATTTATCGTACTCAATGCCTTTAGACCTTCTTTTTTTCGTGAGACTGTGCTGCGTCATATGAAGGGTCAAAAGTATTGTTACCACGAATGCTCAAATTCCCACGGAGCTATGGAATGGAGACTGGGATAAGTCAATAGAGTAATGAATCTAGTTACAAATATTGAGACCAAAACTGCTACGTGAACATTCCAAGCAAATCGTGGGCGGTCAAAGTTGGCAGGCAGTGTAACCAGCACAGGAAGCCGCATCGGTGTTTTTAGTTTTCCTGAAACAGTACCCCTAGGGGTAAACGGATGGCCCGGTCACGAATATGACATTCGTTTTGGAGACAGAGGCGATCTGACGCCAGTGGTGCCGCAACTCACTTTTTTACTGCATTTCTTGCCAACTTTGACCGCTCACAACTTGCCTAGAAAGGTCGCGTAGCAGTTTTGGTCTACATATCTGTGAATAGTATTCAGTACTCTACCGATTTGCCTGAGTCTCCATCCAAAGTTCCATGGGAACTTAGAAGCATTCCCAGGTTAGAGTGAAGCCTTAACAAGATAATATCTTCTTTAAAATAGTTTCATATAGAGATCTAAAAGGTTCAAGAAGTATTTCACTGAAATGAGCGCTTTTCGTCGGGCGACTCAGGTTTCGACCCTCATTGCAGAAGGGCATAAAAGTTCAATGAAAAATTTACACAAAGATGTTGGGTTATAGGTAAAACACCCGCGCCAGACGGGAATCGAGCCCACACCACATATCGAATTGAATCAAAAACGAGGTTGCGAGAAATTTATGGGAATTTGACTTCTCTTGTACGTTGCGCAATTTTTCATAGGCGAAAAAGGTGACATGTCGCGGGCAGCAGTCGTGGCGCGCTCAAACCCCAGCCGGAGCTTCCATGAGGTGCAGTTCGTGCCAGCAATGCATATATCTTGTAATTTAATTATTATAAATTTGATTATTATGATTATAAATTAATTATAATTTGTTCCATTACTATGAACTGTCGCTATCTGCAAAACTTCATCGCGTTTCATTCTCTTGCTCTAATTCTTTTCTCACCGATCCATGGTGCACATTATAGGTATAATCTACTGCTCACGAGTTTCTGCGAGCAGGCTCAAATGTCCGTTGTTCCATTCCACTAATTTTACGGCCACCCTCCTTTAGGCGGATCCCAACACGACCCCTCACCACCACCATCAACCATAGGGAGGTCTTCCAATACCTCCGTCCCACCATCCCCGACGGCCACCCTGTCCATCATGGCCCTTTCCATAGTATTCGATTCCGAGACTAGTCGACACAGCCCAATTCCGAACTTTTTTCTCCATCGATTCGACCTTTACATGCTTTACCCTTTCCAAATTTTCACCAAAATTATCACAAAGCACATAAAACTTGCCAAAGCAATCTCGCTCCCGCCTCCACAATACGAAAATCCATCTATGTATGTTATAAAAATACGATATTTTTCCAACATTTTAACCTTCACCAACCTTTAATACAATCCCCCCACCCCCTCCCTCACTCTGAAAAAATTCAAAGACGAGAGTTGCACATCCCACGGTTGACTCTATCTGCAAGTATGAACAACCACTATGACAAAAACTTAATCATGATTTGCGTTAAAGGAATCTTCCACGGAAAAACATCGCCTCCATTCCTACAAAAAAAACGATACCTTAGGCCCCTTGCTTCATGAAGATAGCAAAAAGAACGGAACATAGGCGATGGTTTTGATAATAATTATGATAACCAGTTCGACTATGAAAATTTTGAATTCCCGCTGTAAAACTTCCACAACTGTTAGCGGCGTGGAGTCAACACGTGCAAACGTGTCAAAAGCGTGAACGTGAACTGGATTCATGTTGGGCCCTTCCCATAAACTGACACGTGGATCCGCACCTGCCACGCACTTCGTCACAGAAGCACTTCCGGTCCCGCCTACTGGTCCAATCCGGTCCCACAGATGGGTCTTTCCAAGGGCTGTTTCTCTGGGGGTTTCATCATTTTCGCTCTGAACTTTGCATATGGTCTTCAATGACCAATGACCTCAACTACTGTACACAAGGAAGGATAGTAGTTTCCGTTGGAAAAGTTCCTTGAATATTCGACTAGCGAAGCAATGTTTACCATGTTTGAGCAGACACGAAACATATCAAATGAGAGACTACTTTTTCGAGTTCTAAATTAACGTCATGCTTTGGTCTCTATTACTAAATACTGGTCACTTAGAAAATTATTTCTACCTTTCAGATAGATAACGTTTCAACACACTATATTTATGAAGATAGTACTATATATGGCTTCAAATTGCGCAACATAGTTGAAATGGAGCGCTCGTGGTATCCTCGTAAATGCTTTATTATATTTCTTGAAAGAAAATGGATCAATAATGGCCTCTTTTCGAAGTTGGTTTTTTAGTGGTAGGCTTTCGTTTATGTGATAAAGGCACGTCTCAATCAGCCCGTGAGTCCATGGAGTTCTCTCGAGAGTGAAACAGCTGATGCGTCAAAAACTAATAGTACGTTTGCGGAAATCTGTAAATAAATAATGTGAGTTTGGATGGAGACAGCCGCAACGAGCCGCTGCTAATCAGCAAAGGTGACTAATGGGTGGAAATCTTTGCGGAAGCAAGTCAGCTAACTAGCTGGAGTTTTATCAATTGCATCATTCTAATAACACTGATAAAAGGCGCGTGCGCTGGTACAGTGAATGAATCCTTGTCATCGCAGACAATTATTTCTGCAATTACACGTGATGATAGTGTCAGTAACTTCTGATGAGAGCCGATGCCATGGTCGTCAAATCCAGCTGGGGTTTCTATCAGCAATCATTTCTTTGTATTTCTTTAACTTTTGCGATGAACTACATGGGGCAGCGCGATTCAGTTGAAGCCCGAGATATTTGAGAAATGGATCCTTCTTGAATCCTCCGCCGAGTTTGTTGAATTCGCCTGGAGGCTGCATTGCACTCAAGTCCCGCAGTTGAGTGGATTTCATCGCGGTTGAAGTAAGGTTGCAAGAAGGCAACTTCATCCTGCTCTGCGCCTCTGATGATTAAGGATAAGGACGTTGATATCGCCAGGGGGAGGAGCTTTGATGACACTTTCACTTATAGAGGCTATCAGGAGAGAGGAGGTTGAGAAGGAGTTCACAGTGGGTGGACACCAAAAATGCGCGAAAAAAGGACTAGATGTCGATAATATTGGGAATTCACCGTGCTTATTATAGGTGGGCTCAAATGAGGTGTTGAGGTACTCATGTCACGCTGACTCTCAGCTCGTCTTGATCCTTATCGTGAGAGCCGCAGAGCAGAATAAAATGGTCCCCTCCAGCTCCAATTTCATCTTTCCTTTCATATGCAAAAGATTTGCGACACTTACCAATATTAGACTAAAGCCTTCGCTGTACAAAAACAGTCTTTTAATCAGCTCCTCCGTTAAGACCCTCGGTTATCACTCGATTCTTGAGGCGTGGGGCTCAGCTACTGCGTCATAGTTTTGATATAGTCATAGAAACTTCGGGGGAACAATGCGTTGAGGGCCAACTAACCTGTGTGATCAGACATAGAACTCGTTCCCTCCTTGTGGCATTTGTTGATTCATAACAGCTTTCGACACTTCATACGAGGAAG